TATCCACGGCTCCTCTGCCCCCAGCACCCTCCAAGGCCAGAGGCTTCTTTCCCTGATTGCCTATCCTTGAGGGCAAGGCCCCTTGAGGGTTTTCTTAGAACCCCAAGAGGGGCACCACTGCTCGTGCAGGTGCTGGGCTCTAGGTAACTGCCCTGCGGCATGGAGCCCCCCGGGAGGGAAGGGTCCCCTTCTCCACGACTGCATTCAAGTATTATTATCTCTAGTGTCAGGATGGCTGAGGATGGGTGTGGAGAGCCTGGGCTGTTCCCTCTTCTGTGTGGATCAGAGAAGGGGCAGGAAGGTCTGCAGCTAAGCCAGCTGGAAGGCCAATGTGCTGTTGAGTTTGGATCAGAACCTGGACTTGAACTAGACCCATTTGTCTAGGTCTCATCCCTTGTCTTGCTCTCCATCACCATCAGTTATCTCTCTGAGCAGGTGGGTTTGTGCTACAGAGGACAGTAGGTAGGAGAGGCTTTGGTCTTTGTTCTCAGACAAGAAATATAACAGGGTAGGGCCAGGCAACATACCCCTGGGGCTTGGATAGACTTTGAGCAACAGAAAGCTTCACCAGGAAGGTGCTGATTTTTGACACATGTCCCATGAGCAAGCAGAGCTCCAGGTGGTCAAACTCAGGAGTCTGAACTCTCATTCCAGTGCTCACTCCCTTGCTCACAGTCCCTTTGCAGGTGGCCACAGCATAAAGCACTTCCACTCCCTCCTGAGTCTGAAGGCTGAGTGGGACCAGTGGCATAGAAGCAGCAGAAAAGCCATTTGCTCCAGTGTCTGGGGCATAGGAGGGCGGGGTGTGCAGGGGGTGCATGTTCAGGAGGGGTGCACACTCCTGCCCAGGGCCACATGTCTGAAAGGGCTAGACTGGCCTCATTGCAGTGAGGCGGGAAGGAGAGGCCTCTGAGGCTTTGTCACCCTGGAGGGCTGGGGGTGGGGACAAGGAGACATGCCACACAGAGATTCTCATGGAAGCCAGGAGGGAAGCTCTTGAGCTGCTGGAGTCTGAATCTGCGGGCCAGCCCAGAGACAACCTTGAGAGAGGGAGGCTTCACTGAGCTGGTGTCTGGCGGTGGAGCTGGGGGGGGGGGGTAGGCTGGAGGAAGGAGGATCTAGACTGGCAGAGCCCGACTGGTTGCCTCATGTCTGTCTGCCTCCCTCCTGGACAAAGTCAGAAGTCCACAGACACAAGCATGTGGAGGCAGGAGAGATGGGGTGGTGTGTCCTTGAGCCCGGGGGTTTTCCCGGGCTGAAATCCCTGAGGATGCAGGCCCCGATCCAGCTGGGGTCACCAACTCAGGCTTTCCCAGCCTGGGGGATGCCCTTCTCAGTGCTTGCTTTTCAAAGTGCTTCCAGGCGGGCGCTGGAAAGGTGGAGGGCTTGCCTAGCATGCGCTAGGCCCTGGGGTCACGCCAGACACTGCCTCATCCACACAAAAACAAAACACAAGAAGAAAATGTGCTTAAGGGGATACGAATCCATGGCTCCAAGCGCTGGAGATGGGGTTTCCCTTTTCTCTGGAAGGAAAGCCCAAGAAGTGACCAACCCCACCCGCCTGGTTTTCATGTCACCTGTTGTTGGTCATCTTTCTCTTTGACTCCCATTTCCTATACAGTAGGGATGATAATTCCTCCCTCCCAGAGTTAGGACTATGGAATCGGATCCCTTATGTAAAAGAGCTTCTTAAAGTGCAAATTCGCAGCACAGGAGAAAGAGATGACTGTTCTCTGGGAGGAGACCTAAGGGAAGAGGAAGCAGGAAGGAAGTCCAGGCGAGGTCAGGGCGAGGAAAGCTCTGGGCTCCAACCCCTCCAGCAGCCCTTCCGCCCTCCATTTCCTCCCCAGCCCTGGGCCTTGCTCTGGGAGCTTCAGGGTGACCGAGGACTGTGGAGTTGAGGGCGGGCAGGTGCGAGGGCGTCATGCAGACTTACTCTCCCTCTGCTGCGGAGAAATTGGGGACCTGGATTAACGGGGTTGGGCAAGTCTGGTTCTTGGAAGAGGGAGATCCTAAGCAAACCCACTGCTTGCTGGAGTGTGCCGGGCTGACAGGACTCTGCGGTCCCCTCCTCAGCTCCATTCTTATTTTCTCCCAGTGTGGCCGGCCCCACCCTCCCCGCCATTCTGCCCATCCCCCTGGACAGGGAGGGGCTCCCCACTGCCTTGCTGTGGCCCAACCCTCCCTCCATCCTGTGGAATATGAGCCTTCCTCCTTAACATCAGACCAAGATGTAACAGCTGCTGGGAGCGAGCTGGTCCCCTCCCTTCCCCAGGGTGAGGGACAGATGCTCTGTGTAGAATTTTTTCAGGGAGACAGCCAACAAGGGCATGCTTTCTGTTCCTTGAGCTTCCTAGCCAAAAATGGGGGATTAGTCAGGGGACAGCTGCAGAGGCACGGCCTTGGGGAAGCCCTCCCCAGAGCAGAGAGGGCCCGGGAAGACACAGTGGCAGCTGCCTTCTTGACTCGCACTTGAACCCAGCGCCCACCCTAGGGTATGGTGTAAGAGCAGGACTTTGGACACCTGACAGATGGACCTGGGTTTGAGTTTCAGCCTTGCTGCTTCTTTGCTGTTTGAATGTGGCTGCTTCCTTTCACAAGCGGTTTCCTCTTCTGAGGCAGGGAGACAAGCACCCTGCTGTCTAGGGTCCTCCTGGATAAATGAAGCAAGGTACACAGAGTTTTCATTGCAGTGCCCGGCAAACTCCACGAGCCCTGGAATTGCTAGTCCCCTTCCCTTACAGCAGAGCAGGAGCTGATGACTTTCTGTATGTACAGATTCACCATGGGCATCCGGGCATCACACAGCTTCTCGCACCCAGGAGCCCCAGTTCTGGAAAATCTCAATGGAGGGTTTCTTTCAGTTTAGAATCTTGAGGCCTTCAGCTGTTCTGACTTAGGCCTTTTCATAATCCAAGAGAGCAGGATATGAAAGAGATACGGGGCTTGGAAGGAAATAGGACTAGGGGACAAGACAGAGAGAGAGAGAGAGAGAGAGAGAAAGCTAGACACCCACAGATTCTACAGGCACACACTTGGGAGCCAGCGAGAGCTCACAATCTAAAAGGCCTGCCTAGTCCTCCCATGGGGTGAGGTGTGCTAGTACCTTCCAGTCTCCAGGAGAGAAGGCGTGCCCCTCAGACAAGGCATAAGGGCACCTCCTACCACTTCCAAGACTTCCCATTGACAGGAAGTGATTTATCTTTTCTAGTTCTCAATTTCTTCTTCTGAAGAATGTGAATAATAAATCCCTGACTTCTTATAGGGTTTTGTGAGGATCCAAAGTGCTTGGTGAGGTGCTAGACAAGGGTGGGGGAGGTAGATAAATGGGGTTCTTTTCCATGTGGGCCACAAGAAACACCTGTCCCTCCAGACTCAAGGACCACCTGGGACCTTGAGTGGTTGCCTTGGCAACCCATGGCTTGGCTAACTCCTACTTGATCTTTGCTTTCAGCTTTAATGTTAATTGTGCCAGGAGGTCTTCCAGACCCTTAGACTTGGTCCCCTTCTTGCAAGCTTCCCTTTATAGCACTGACACGGAATTGAACAGTGTGGTTGGTTGTGGGATTATTTGTTCAAGACCTGTCTTCGGTGCTAGAGTCTAAGTTCTGTGAGGAAAAGGAGCATGTCTCTGTTGCACACCATCTTGTCACCAGCATGTAACAGTGTTTGGCATCCAGCAGGCAGGTGCTCCATAAAACCCTTGCCCAATGAGTAAAGGTACTGCCTGCACCATGCCTGCCCTATGCCTCAGCCAAAACCTGATGCCCAACACCATCCATCACACCCTCCCTGCCCAGTGGCTCCTTGTGAGAAGCAGGGAAAGGGGGGAACCTCCATCCCCGCTTATTATTCAAGAAACAATGGCTCCCTTCTTCCCAGCCTCCTAACACAGCAGGCTCCACCCAGCCTCCAAAAGGCTGCAGGTGAATAATTACTCTGTTTATTTATTTATCTCTGCACAAGGCTGCCCTCTGGTGGTTGAACGTGCAGGAGGTTGGGAAGGATGGCAACAACCGTGGCCAGGAACCAGCGAGTCGTGCCAAGCTCAGAGACTGGCAGGTGAGGCTGGGAAAAGGTCAGCGCTATCAAGAGGGTGTCCAGGTAAAGAGTTGGATCAGCTCTCCATCTTCTGATTGGCCGCCCTCCAAATTTAAGCAGGTCCCAAGATATTAAGGAAGGTTCCCAGAGACTTGGGAGGCTAAGGCAAGAGGATCACAAATTTGAGGCTAGCCTAGGCAATTTAGCAGAACCCTATCTCAAAATAAAATATAAAAAGGGATGGGGAATGTAACTCAGTGCTAAAGAACCTCTGGGTTCAATCCCCAGTACTAAAAAATATTAAGGAACATCCCACAGAAACCCTACTCACCCCAAGTAGGGCAGTGTAGGGGTAAGGAATGGATAGTTTAAATAGCTATTTCTCTCTCTCTCTCTCTCTCTGGTACAGGAGATTGGACCCCAAGGCGCTTAACCACTGAGCCACATCCCCAGCCCTTTTTTATTTTTTTATTTAGAGACAGGGTCTTGATGAGTTGCTTAGGACCTTGCTAAATTGCTGAGGCTGGCTTTGAACTCACAATTCTCCTGCCTCAGCCTCCTGAGCTGCTGGGATTGCGGGCATGCACCACTGGCTTTATTTTTTCTTTTCTTTGATGTTCTAGAAAGCTTGAGCAACCAACTCTCTTAAAAAATAAATAAGTAAGTAAACAACAACAACAAAACCCCCCCAATCGGTAGCATTTTAAAAATCTTTTACCATGGCCAACATCAAGTATCGAACATGATGTCACCAAACAAAGAACTGGGAAAAGATGCCCAGTAGTGCATCACTGTATGAAATCTTCACCACACCGATATCTCACACAAATAACTTCAGGAGTGTGATTAATAGTAAAACAATTGAGAAGCAGTGAGTTTTGAGTATTTACTACATTTATGTATTTTGATGTGATACGTTTAATTGTGAGGTTATATAATATAATTTTTCATAATGACTGTGTTTAATAACTGATTTGCAAAGTTCTGGAAAATTCAATCTTGCAAGCCTCGTCGTTAGTAAGAGTGGTTCCAGCACACGACTGCTTCTCCCCCTCTCTCTTCTTCCCCCTCCATCCTCTGCTTCATTTCTCTGAACTCCTCTGTCTCCTCCTCCTCTTTCATGGGTTTCCTGGCATTCGGTGTGGATGGGAGGGATGGGGAACAAGGAGAAGATCTCTGTGCAGACACTGCAGTTCCTGAGCCAGCAGCCATAAGGTGTTAAAGAAAGAGGAGGGAGAAATGCAAATTTGGCTACTGAAGGACACTGGTGTGTGTGTGTGTGTGTGTGTGCGCGCGCGCGGGTGGGGTGGGGAGTAAGGTGGTGATTTTTGCAACTGGAGCATGAGGCTCTCTAATGCTTGGGCTAAAGACCACTGTTTAGACAGGTGATTTTCTATGTGGCCTTGGGGGCCTCCAAGGGCTCCTACTTGGAAGAGAGGGAGGGACAGACTAGGTGAAGCGGCCTATGGGGAGCCGAGGCAGGCAGAAGTAGGCGCTGGGGAACAGGCTCAGGTTGATGGGGTTCCCGTCCAGCCGAATGTCTTCCAGTTTCCTGCGGGTGTGTCTGTGCTCCACAGGGTCACAGAAGGCGTCTGTCTGCATGGTCTCTATCATATTATTCTGGAAAGAACGGGCAGCAGCTGAGCACCCTCCCAGACGCTCTGGCCCCAGGCAGCACTGAAGGTGCCACCAGCCCTTCCCACCAGCCCTGCCCTTCCGGTGCACTTGGGGAAACCGAGGCACCAGAGCCCAGACCACACAACGAGGGGTGAGAAGAGAGTATCAAGCAGGGAGAGAGGTGGGAGAGATTAAGAGGGGTGAAGGATGGGAGGGAGAAGGAAGGAAGGAGGCAGTGATGGGAAGAGAAGAAGAGAAACAGGAGGTAGGAAAAGGAAGGAGGAAAAGCAGGTGGCTGAAGAGGTAGAGGAGAGGGAGTGTTCTCAAAGGAAGAGACAGAGAAAACCAGACTGGAGCCATGGACAGCCATCTAGACGAGACCGTGTCTCCCACACACCTCGGATGCCCAGGCCTTATGGGGCCCCCTGCCCTGTTATCTGCTGTCCACCCTCTGCACTGGCTGTGGCCCCCCTGTGGCTGAGGCTCCTCACCTGCAGGTGGAGTGAGCGCAGGCTCAGAGGCAAAGGCCAGGGGATGGAATCCAGTCGGTTGTCTGCCAGGTAGAGAAACTGCAGCTTCTCCAGTGCCTGCAGGGACACAAAGAGCATGGGAGGCTGGTGGGCAGTGAGGAGGTTCCTGAGGTGGCCAGGGTCAGGTGACCCCCTTCCATGCACTCAGGGTTTACTGCTGTGTGCCGCGCTCTGTAGTGGGCTCTTTGGTGGTGGGAGGGGGGAGCTAGGACCTTTAAGGAGTTGACGCACACTCCACTACCTCTACCTATCCAGGTGCTGCTGTTTTCGAGGTGCAAGCAGCTAGAGGCACGACAGGGGCTGTTAGTGACAGCTATGGGGAGCAGGGGATGAACAGGGATAAGGTAGAGGTGAGGAAGGACCAGGGGACATTTCAGCTCAGCCTCAACTTCTCTGCCATCAGAAGGGATTTTTTTCCCCCAGTGCAGATGTGTGGAACTTGCTCAGGAGATGTCAGAGAATGAAAATCCAAGGCACACCCAGACCAAGGGTGTGTGAGCTTGAGAGCACCTTCAGAATCAGGCAGGCGAGTCAGAGAAGGATTTGGGATGAGAGAAGCCTTTGGGGGCTCAGAGAACAAGGAAGAATAATAGCTAGTGTACATGGAGCAGCTACTATCTATGTCATCTGCCCGTGCTCTGTGTAAGTGCTGTTTTACTAAATCCTGCGGCCATTGGGGCACGCAGGTGTTATTACTCTCAATTTGCAGATGAGGAAACAAGATCAGAGAGGTGAGATGACTCACCCATGAGCCCAGGTCCCTCTGGTTCCAAAGCCCCTGCCTTCCCCTGGACGGAGGAAACAGCCCCGAAGGCAAAGAAGTCCTCCTAAGACGGAGACAGGCTGTTTCTCAGGGCTGGACTTGGATCATCAAGTCCAGGGGGGCTCTGTGATCACCAGACCCCAGCTCTTCACTTTGAGATGGGAAGACTGGGGCCTGAGGACACCCCAGGGGAGGGTTCTGGTTTCCACGGCAGTAGGGCTATTAGCACTGCACCCAGAAGGCTGAGGGTGGAAGGTGTTTGGGAGAGGGGAGAGAACAGGAAAGTGTATGCCTTCACCCGGTTTCAAAATGGTAGCTGCCTTATTTGATTTCTGCTCATCCTTCCTCCTCCTCTTCCCCCTCCTCTTCCTCCCTTCCTTTCTTCTCTTTCTCTTCCTCTTCCTCTTCCTCCTCCTCTTCTCCTTTCCCTTCCTCCCTCCCTCCCTTCCTTCCTTCCTTTCCTCCTCCTCCTCCTCCTCCTCCTCCTCCTCCTCCTCCTCCTCCTTCTTCTTCTTCCTCTTCTTCTTCTCCTTCTCCTTCTTTTGGTACTGAGGGTTGAACCCAAGCTTCTCTACCTCTGAGCTACCTCCCCAGCACTTTGTATTTTATATTTCAAGACAGGATCTAACTAAGTTACTTAGGATAGTCTCAAACTTGCGCTCCCCCTGTCTCATCCTCCCTAGTTGCTGGAATTACAGGTGAGCACTACTGTGCCTGGATATTTGATGCTTCTAAACAGTTTGCCAAAAGAGCCCACCATAGTCATGATTGCTGAACGACAGGGACATGTGTCTTCAGGTAATTCTGCCATTGTACGAACATCACAGAGCGTACTTACATGAACTAAAAAGGCTACAACATCACTAGGTGAGACAATCTTAGAATTTCACTATCATATATGTGGCCTGGTGTTGATGACTGTACTTAAGAGAGACAGACAGAGGCTGAAAGTGAGTCCAAATGAAGAAGACACGGCTGGCAAGTGAGTAATGGGCTTTTGAAGGCCATTACTAATGTCCAGCCAGTATGCATGCAGGGGTCAGCCTTGTCCACACTGTGCTTCACTTCTTCAGCGGAACTGCACCCTCTGTTCTTCCTAACCCTGTCCCGGGGGCATATGTTTTTAATTTGTTGTTTTTAGATACTAGAGTATATTTTGACATGTTATACATACATGGAATATAATTCCCATTTTTGTGGTTGTACATGGCATGGAGTTACACTGGTCATGCCTTCATATATGAGCACAGGACAGTTATATCTGATTCATTCTACTGTCTTTCCTATTCCTATGCGCCCCCCTTCCCTTCATTCCCTTTTGTCGGATCCAATGAACTTCTATTCTGCCCCTCCTCACCCTCCCTTGTTGGGGGTCAGTATCCACATATCAGAGAATATTAGGCCTTTGGTATTTTGGGGACTGGCTTATTTCACTTAGCATGATATTCTCCAGTTCCAACCATTTATCAGAAAATGCCATAATTTCATTCTTCTTTATGGCCGAGTAATTTTCCATTGTGTGTATATATCACATTTTGCTTATTCATTTATCTGTTGAAGGGCACCTAGGTTGGTTTCATAGCTTGGTTATTGTAAATTCAGCTGCTACAAACATTGATGTGGCTGCATCACTGTAGTATATTGATTTTAAGTCCTTTGGGTATATGCCAAGGAGTGGGATAACTGAGTCAAATGGTGGTTCCATTCCAAGTTTTCTAAGAAATCTCCATATTGCTTTCCAGAGAGGTTGCACCAGTTTACAGTTCCACCAGCAATGTATGAATATACCTTTTCCCCCACATCCTTAACAATATTTATTGTTAGTTGTATTCTTGATAATCGCAGGAGGGCATAGTCACATCTTACAACTTAGCCCTTCCCATCAAAACTAGACAGACAGCCAAGGACTCATTGGATTGACTCTCTTGAGAACTGGACAATAGAAAATCACTTGTTGATGGTTTTTTTGGGGAAAATGATACTTAGGATTTAGGGTTAGAGTTAGCACTTTTGCAAGCCAAAGCCAAAGGCATTTGGGGGTGGGGTCTGACATTTTGGGGAGCAGATCCTGGGAATGTGCTGAGGATGCAGGTGTGCAGAGAGGTGAATGGAGCCGAAGCAGAGAAAGAAGCCAAGACAGGAGACACACGCCCCTCAGAGGAGCAGGAAGACTGGTTTCTTAGCACTGATCTTGTTTTTTGGCCCCCCATTCCCAGTAACAGGCTCATGAGGCCTGATAGTACTGGGTGTCCCATTTGAGGAGGCTCTTGGAATGGCATGCTATGAAACTCCTTTTCCTTGAGTCAGAATCCATTTCTTCCAACCCAAAGTACAAACAGAAAAGGATGAAAAATAATCATGGATTTTTAGACCTCAGAACACCCTGGAGGGTGCAACGCGCATGATGTGGGTGGGGGCAGGTGGCGTGTGGTGGTCTGAGTCCCTGACTCACCCTGAAGGCCTCAGGCTGTATCCCCGAGCTCCGGAGCCTATTCAAGCGGACATCCAGGAACTCGATGCCACTGGGCAGCAGGGGCAAAGCCACCAACTGGTTCTCTGGGAGGATCAGATCCTGCAGGGCAGGCAGCAAGCGGAGGGCGTCATTGTCAATGGAGGAGATGAAGTTGCTGGTGAGGTCAATCCTTTTCAGTTTTGCTGAGGGACATTGGGAGAGAACAAAGAAAGATACTGGAACACATTATTTTTCCTTGCAGGGATGTGCCTGGGTATCCTGCTCCATCCCTCTCAAGATAAGGGAATTCTAACCAGCTTTCTCCCTGCAGTAGGTCCAAACCAGAAGAAATCACAGTCTAAAGGACCCCTTGGAAAAGCCCGCGGATTCCTCAATACCTTTCCCTGGATTCTGGGTTGCCCACCTTGGATCCCACTGGAAGAAACCTCTGAAAGGCAAGAGCCAACTAGCCCGGGAATCTCTGGACCCATCCCACCTGGTCCCTATCAGCATACTGAGCCCTCTGCACTTTTCACAATGGGCACCAAGGCTGGAAAGGCTGTGGGTGATTGGCAATGGAAGCTGGAGTGGAGCCCGGCTCTCCTATCAGGACATGAGGCCTAGAGCAGCCAACAGCATCATTTATAGGTGGAGGATGATCTGGTCCAGAGGCCAGCAGAGCTATAGGTGCTGAGACATATTGAAAATGTTGGCTTCATCCCACCTTCCCTGCCCAGATGTTTGTAGAAAAAAAAAATGAGAACAGAACACTTCTACCATTTAAACTCGTCAAGGAAAGGAATTAGAAGGACTTGGGGGATCTTTCCCTTTGACAGCTGGAGACAGAACTAAAAGGGAAAGACTAACACACAGGTGGGCTGGGGCTGAAGCTCAGTGGTAGAGCGCTTGCCTAGCATGTGTGAGGCACTGGGTTCCATCATTAGCACCACATAGAAATAAATAAAGGTCCATCAACTAAAAAATATTTTTAAAAAAGACTAACACAGGTGGGGGAGAACAGTGTCTGGTCACTGTTCATGTGGCCAGATGCAAAGGAAAGGACCCTGGTGGCCCCTCTCCCCTTTTCTCAGGGCATTACATACTCAGCCCTTCGAAGTCTCTGGTCCTGATGCGGCTGATGCGGTTGAAGCGGGCGTACAGATAGGTGGTCATCCGGGGAAGAGGAGGAATGTTCTCTAGGTCAATGTCATCACAGTACACAGAAGATCCGAGGCACACACAGACCAGGCAGGTGGGCAGGCCTGGCCCAGGTGGAAGACAGAACAAAGGGAGACTCCTGATCAGACTCCCTTCAGCCTCTGAAGCCCATGGCTCTTGACCCAGGGAGTATCTGAGCCATGTGTCCTCTTGATGGCCTGTGGGTTGCTGTCTAGAACCAATTGGCCGATGCACCCAGATGGTACTGACAGCTCTCAGCCTGTCCCTCAGCCCTCAACCTAAGAGAATCAATCAGCTTCACCCTTAGTTCCTACTCAGTACTTTCATAAAAGACCCTGGTCCTTTGTAGGTTTTCCTGGGTCTATGTGAGCATTTCTTGGATATCTGGTGGCCTTTTTCCCCATAGGTCTCCTCTCTGGTCTCAATAGGAACAGTAAAGATGAAACAAAGCCAGAATTCAGTGGAATAGTCGGGGGTTGGTTGCTGGGTCTGCCAGCTGCCTTTGGGAAGAGCAGCTGGACATGTTCTCTGAGGCTCTGAGAAGCACAGTAAGGCCCAGACGGACTGGCCAATGCCCGTGCCACATCCATCTCCCCTTCTTATGGCAGCAGCACCCCGATTTTCTACTGGGAAACAGCCCTCCCCTAGCCCCAGTCCATGGCCCCACCTCTGTATCCAGCACTCATGAGGCTAAGGCAGTCCATCCAACTCAGACCACCTTTAAAAAGTTGGGAAGACTGTATTGGCTCAGGCCCTGGAACTGTACGGGAGGTTCTGTCAGTTGTTCTCGCAGGACAGAAATTCCTGTGAGGCCATTATTAGCCCGACTCAAGGAAGCACTACGGTAGCAATAACAGCCCCAAGATGAAGTAGCAGTTCCCTGCCAGCAGTGACCAGCGGGACTGGTAAAGCAGGGGGCCCCAGGACCCTTCTTATCCCAAGACCTTGAATGGCAGGTCCAGCTAAGGCTCTTTACAGTCTCTTAAGGGTTTAATAGCTTCTATGGCTCTGCAAGGTCACGGATCCTGACCAAAGGTCTTGGCTGATGCTCCAGTCCCCCAGGAGCACCCACGCAGATACCCTGAGAATAGGGATGCCAAGGTCAAGCAGGCCCAGAATGAGCTGCTTCCTTCCGATGCCCCAGTTTCTGGTCCCCAGCAGCGTTCTGAGCGCTCTCCATTGGCCACACCAGCAGCCCTGGCTCCAGAAAGGCTTTGGGAAGGAACGGGGAGGGGCTGGGGCTGCTAAGGAGGTGAATGTGAGGCTGAAAGCAGTGACTGCTTCATTTGCCCCCATGCCAGTGACAGCCACAAAGTTATTTATTCTTCTCTACAGGCTTTTAATTGTCTCTAATCTAATTACCACTCACCTTGCTCCCTGAGTGATGCTGTTAATTAGGGTAGGGTGGCTCTGTTGGGGCACAGGGAAAGCTTGCAGTTGCTTTGTTTAGGAAAGCCAACCCCGCCCCCCCATGGCTATCTCCCCTCCTCTACCTGCTGTTAGGTGCCAGCCTTGACATTCTGTTTCTACTCCTGACCACACTCCACTTGGGTACCACCTGGCGCTGGGTCATGGCTGCCGGACCTTGGACCTACAGATATGATAACCATTTGACTGTGTACTTACCATGGCTGGCTGGGGAGCCCAGTGGGCCTGGCAGAGTAGGCTTGGTCATCGTGGGGTTTGACAAGGGTGTCCTTGGAGTCATCTTGCTCTGGGTGGGACTGATCCTGGTTGGAGGAGCCAGACTGGTTACCTTAACCTGGAGACACAGCACACAGCATATAGTAGGCTGGATTTTGCCCACAAAGGACCTAACTTTGGGCTTTAGAAACCTCAGTGACCCATCTCAAACTTGCAAAGAGTCACTGTGAAAGAGGACGGAGGAAGAGCATAAAGAGTGAGCCTGGAAGGGACCTTAAAGAGTATCAGATCCACGTGTTCATTAGATAGATGAGGAAACTGAGGCCCAGATTGGGGAGGGACTCGGATCAGGGAGCCAGTCGGTGCTAAGGCAGAACTAGCACCTGGGTCCCCAATTCCCTAAGCAGGTGCTCCTCCATGCTGACCTGGCTCACAGCACCCACAGCAGAGGCTTCAAACTGGAGGACAGTCTAGGAAAAGAGATGCAGGTGATATTTCCTTTTCAGGGAGAATATGAAGACTTTGCTGACCCTCACCTCAATGAGGCACACTGTCATACCTGACAGCCTGGGAGCCTGCATCATGGGGCAGGTGGAGAGGGGCCAGGGGCCTGGCCTTGCAGGGTATGGTCAGTTGCGTGTCCCTCACCTCAGCCAGCTGGTCCCCGTAGTCGGCCAGCTCCTCATAGCTGCTCAGGTCAATGACCTCACTGTAGTCATCCGGGCTCACCATGTAGCTCCCCACATGCAGCTCTGAGTAAGGATCGCCTTTCCCACAGTGGCTCTGCTCCTCCCTCCTCCTCCGTTCCTTCTCTGGGAGAGAAGCCGGCCCTGCCTCCCGCAGCACCAAGGCCAGCAGGCTCAGGAACAACGTGGAGAGCCTCATGAGGGGCCTGGGGGTGGGAATGGGGTGAGAACTGGGTGGAATCACTGCAGCATCCATCCTGCGGGGTGCGCATGAGGAAGAGCGGCTGTCTGAGACTCGTGGGAATGGCTTGAAAACGTCCTCCCCTTCCCACCATTCATCATGCAAGCTTACTCAGCACCTTCACTCCACACTCAAGCTCCCTAAAGGCTGGGCTATGACTGGGGGCACCCCCAGCACCTCTTCCACACACCCACACTGGTGTTATCTCATACAGCACATGCAGACACCCACATAATCCTGATTCCTCATCACAGACACACTCACCAAAGCCCTTTATCCATGCACCTCCCAGCGCTCCCGGCATGCATTTGTGCATCTGTGTAGATATTCTCCCTTAACCGCACACTCAAAATATAACAGTTAGACACTAAATTAGATTCAGAGAAACCCCCAACCTCAAGGAGTCTTTTGTAGTATGTGTGTGTGTGTGTGTGTGTGTGTGTTAGAGATCACTCAATCATGCACTCACTCAACAAACATGTATGGGGTCCTTGTTAAGTTCCTGGCACTAGACTTGCCTCTGGCAGGGGCAGAATGAACATGGTGTGGCCCTTCTCAGGAGCACCTCATCTGTTTGGAGACATGGACTTACAATTTGACATGCAATGTAAAGAATGTTAGTTCATAAAATAGATTGAGAGAGGCAACTTTTTACAAACCTATTTCTAGAAATCAGAGAGTTCTTTGTGTGTTGTAAGAAAGTAGACACATCCAGAAAATTCCTTAGATATCTGTACATCTGTGTATGTGTGAGCACACTGGTGACCATGCCCATGTGCGATGGTCACGTGAGTGTGAATGTTCATTTATTTAGCTCACCCATGTTGTTCAGATGGGCAGAGAGATGTGTGTGGAATGGCCGTGGATGCATCCATGGAGAGTGGATACACAGACACAGCAGGTGTGTGACTGATCACACGGCCCTCCCCAAAGTCCCTGCACACATTTCTAGTAGACCCTCCTCCTCAATTTCAGCTGAGCAAAGGGCTAAGCCCCTAGCAGTAGCAAAGGGGCACATTTCACCTCATTTCCTATTCCTTACTCCAAATCAAACTATGTGAATTTTAAATAAACTCCTGAGGCAGAGTTCACTACCCAACCAGAAGCCTCCTCCAACTTCTGCAGCCAGAGGCCTAGACTCCCTCCGTCCTCCCTGGCCCAGCCCCAGCTCTTTCCCCTCACCTGTGGCCCTGAGGCCTCCAACCTTGAACCTTACCCTTTAGATGCCCTTTGATTCCAAATGGAGCCCTACAGCATACAGACAGAGGGACTCTGATGGAAAGGGTGGCTGCCGTGGGGCAGACGCTGGGCAGGAGACAAGCAGGCAGGCAGGCGTGGGTCCAGTCAGACTTCTCATTCTTTGTGATGTCCTGCTGTTTCCCCTCCTCTTTCCTCAGGGGGTCCCCAATTCCATTCCTTTGCTTGATGAAGGAAATTCTTCCTCTCTCTCTCCCTCCACCAGCCTTGCCACCCACCCCCTCTCTTTCTCTTAACTGTCTGCTCCCTCTCTTTCTGGCCACCCTCCTGATAAGGCCAGGTCTTTGAGGGGCAGGCGGTGCCCACCCTAAAAGGAAGGGGCCTCAGCCTCAGATTCTGAACTTTCTGAGAGGGCTGGGTTGAGGGTATGTGGAGGGCTGGAACTTGCCTTCCCAGTTTTTTTTTTTTTTTTCCTCTCCAGCCAAAGAGTGATGAGGATTGGCTTCATAGATGGAATCCAAAGATAAAAAGAGGCTGAGCCAAAGAGTGCCAACCAGCCCCCACACCCACAGTCCCTGAAAGGAACCATATTGAACAAAATTACCAGCGGGAGGGTCTGGGCCTGCGGGATGCAAAGAGATGGTGAAGAGCGGGTGGGGAAGGATTCGAAAGCCAACTGAAAGTTCACAGATGATGATCAGGAGGAGGATGCAGAAAATTCTTTAAAACTTCTAGGAAGAAAGGACACGGAACCAGAAGCCTCCTCCAACAACTCCATGGAAGGGAGTTGGGCTTGGACACCAGAAAGGACTTCCTGATCATAAACACTGAAGACACCATGAGGAGCCTTTGGGGCTGGCTGGGAAGTACATCCTCCCCTCAAAGATGTACTTATCAAGAGAAACTCTTCTTTACTTGGTGCCTCAGACAGGCGGTGAGTGGGCGTGGCTAAATGTTTCTCTGATTCTGCCAGCCTGCAGCCGGCACCTCTGCCAGGCTCTTCCATGATGTTCCCTGCTCCCTGTTCCCTCCCACTGGCTAATCCTTTATTCTAGCCGCAAGGCCACCTGAGTCTAATCCCTGTATTGAACAGATGAGGAAGCCAAGGCTCAGAGAAGGGCGGTGACTTGCCCAAGATCACTCAGAGCCACACCCAGCACCTAGATTCCCTGAGTCTCACACCAGAGTTTGCCTTGGTTTGTAGGATTTCATCTTTTCGACCTCATCCCAGGGAGCCCTGAGACCATGTGTCTTCGGGCGCTCAGAATAGATGGTCTTGGCAAACTCATCTCTGCCCTGGTCTAACAGGTAAAGGGGCAGACCTAATAGCCGGTGTGGGAGGGGGCCTTCCCTCAACCCAAGAAAGCTGGGCACCTGAGAAATGTACGTTCCTGTGCCTCTGGCACTTTCCCACCCTGGAGCTACACCATCCAGGCCTCTCCTGGGTGGAGGGAGGTGGAGTCCTGCAGCCAGAAGGGATCCGGGGAAGCAGATGGCACATTTGGCAGACTGTGCTCCTCGGCTTTCCTCTCCATAGCCAGGCCAGAGGACCTCTGTCCCCAAGGTCGGTCTGGGAGCATCCCCCCTCCGGTCCCACACTTTATTCCAGCCAACGCTACTGCTCATTCATTCCCCCGCCACTTGCTTCCTCCCTCCCTCTCCACTCTCTCATGACACCCTCGCAGGTCGCGATGCCTCTGCCCTGCGATGGGTCCTCCTCCGAGCTCCCTCCAACCTCATTGCCAGCCTCGCGACCGCGCATGCGCCGGCTGCCTGACGCGCGCCCCCGCATCCTCCGCTGGGAGCCTCCTTCTGATGCAGGCTCCGGTCCTAGACTCTCTCCCAACTTCTGTTCTCGCTTTCGCAAGCTCGCGGTTACACACCGGTTCCCATGGATTTCAGGGAGTGGCCATGGACGTGTATGAGTGACCTGCGTGGGAAATGGCCCACCCGCGTGCTGTTGCAGACGGCTCAGCTCCGCGAGAGCCTGGCAAAGGGGGCGGGTGGTCGGGGGAGGCGTCCTAATCCTAATCTCTCATTAGCAGAGGCACAAGGCATGTTGATGGAACGGAGGTGGCAGGTGGTGTGGACAGAAGCCTGGCCAGATGACCTTGTTGCTGCCTATGTTCTGGGCAGGGAGAGTGGTGGGGGTGGAAAGTTCAAGAACCCTCCTGCTTTTTGGATAGCAAGGTATATTCCCTGCTGAGGACTGCTAGCCACATAACTCCAGGACAGGAACACAGTTCTTTCCTTCTCCTCAGAATCCCCCTCCCCCTTCCCCAGGGTGGACTCCTCTCCTCCTTGAGTTGGCCATTCCAGACATGTGCTTTTTCCTTTTCCCATTTGACAAAATTCGAGTGATCCCTAAGAGCCTGCTTAAATGACAGGAGCCTTTCCAGTTTCCCCTAAGCAGAGACAGGGGTCCTCTCCTCCCTGCTGTTTGTACACAGCATGACTTCTAACGCTTCAGACTGAAATCCAATTCGTGGAATTTCCCCCTTTACCAAGTTATGAATTCCTCAAGGGCATGGGGTCTGTATTGCTCAGCCTAAATTCTTAACTGGGAACCTGGCCTATAGTTGATGTCCCTGAACATTTGCCAAATGGACCTGAAGCAGGTGTTCAGCAGGCAGGATGGGAAGCAGGAGGGCATATTTGGCAGTTTTCTCCTACAGAAGGTGGTATGAACTGGGATTCTAGTAAGTCACTTTTGGAGCCAAGTTCCTTCCAAAGAGGAGCCAGGGGCACCCCCTGCTTGCCTTTCAGGAACTTCTGCATGGCCTACAGACCCCCATTTCAAATGATGTGGCCCTTTATTCTCTGCCCTCAAAATGGCTTTTCCATTGTTCCTGTGCACATTACATTTCCCCAGTTCATCCCTAAGCTTGGCCAGGAAAGTTGACTGTTTTGTCTTTCCACCTGTGCCTCAAAACTGAGCCTGGGGAGACCTTGACAATTTAGTGTCTGTGGGTCAAAAGAACCTGGGGGTTTGGATTCAGATGTGGCTGTTTGATTTCTAGTCTAACATTAAGAATAATTTCTCTTGAGGGCTATGAGTTTTGAGGAAATTCTCTGAGAAAAAGCTTTGAGATGACTGTCCCAGCAGATTCTTAAGAATAATATCTTTCCTCCACCCATCTTCTCAGTAAGAGGTGTGGAGGTGGGGGGTGGTGTCAGGGGATAGGGATACAGATGACTTTAAGGTATTATCTTGACCTGTTCACAGTCTCAATTTCAAGCAAGTTGTTTTTCATATTACTTTATTTCCTCTGCTGTAAAGCGTGTTGAAATGTGAAACTTGTTCCACAAAGTTAACATGGTCTTCAAGAGAGAGTAGCTATATGTGCAGAGTACACATACACACCTACGTACACACCTGTTTATGTAGATGCCAACAGCACTGAGGCAATGAACTTGGGTAAAGAGAAGGGGCTTTCTAAACTGAAAGGCAACCTGCCCATTGTGTGTGCTTGGCCGGGGTGGGGGTAACCTATGATGCCAATTGAATGCTCCCCCTGTGGTGTACAGCTGCAGAGAGCAACACAGGGAGCAGACAGATTCTAGATGGGGCAATGGAATGATGATGATGGTGTGGCCACTAAAAGGTTTGCAGGACTAGGCTCCCCCTGGGGAGTCACAGGAGCTGTGCTCCCCTAAGGGCCTCACCAAAGGGGCTGAGGTCGCAGGGTGTGAACAGGTCCGAAGGGGGCTTATCCAGGCCATAGCACCAGGTTGCTTACAGCCATAATAATATGTTGACTTTAAGCAGGAGCCTT